TAGATGTTGACGGCAAAGCAGAGCTCGTAGTTGGTTGATCCATGTATCTGCCGTACTGATGTCCACTTTTAAATGCATTTGAAGTTGTCGACGGTTGTGGTTGAATGTGATATTGTTGTTGTTTTTGAGGCTCTTGTTTTAGTTGATAAGTTTCTTGATATGGTTGTTGTGACGTGAACGGCACAAGAATATGCCCAGGATTGTACGGTGTGTGTGACGGTTCACCAAAATAGTTATTACTTTGTGTGTACGAATTGTAGTAATACTGTGGATAGTTGCTTTGATATGAATTGTACGGTTCGTCGAAGAGATTTGCATTGGTCATTTGCCGCTGGTACGGATGTTGCCCGTTTGTCGTTTGTTGAAATTGATTATGTGTAAAGTTATGCGATGGGACTTCAATCTCTTCTTTGACATCGGTAGCTGAAAGTTAACATTTCAATCGTTTAGTTCGAGTGTCATTGGCAATTATTTGCAGTCAATTCCGGGATAAAAGTAATAAAAAATGCTTACCAATTTCGATGAGCGGCTGAGGATTAACTGAACATTCAACTGCATTGGTTCCATTTGTCGGCGTCAACACGTCTTCTTGTGCATATTTCGATTTTTCTGCCTTTTTCAAGTTCGAAATTGACTCCAATATTTCTCTGGATCGTTCGCTCATTCGTTTTTTCTTCTTGTGTATCAATCGAGTGCCTTAAAATTCGAGAAAAACAATGAAAAAAAATGCTTTTATCCAGTCGATGAATTGAAACTTACTTTGTGGATTCGGTATGAATTCAAAGTCAACGGGATCACCCACTTCACTATCCGATGGCCGATATAATTGAATGAATACTTTTCTTGTCTCTCTAATATCGAACTCCTTATATTCCGGCGTATTAAATGAAATCGCATACTGATGATGTACTCTCATCGTTGTCGAATTTTTATAGTTGATCTCCTCTCGCCAAATCACCTTGCGATCATTGTCTTCTTCGTAGAAAATAACTGAAATATCTTCACGTTTTACTTTGTCACAAAGTAAAATAATCCGTTTGCCACCATTTACGGTCGAACGTTTCGAGCTGATGTCAATTATCTTTAATTGACCATTCGACTTCTTATCGATGATCGCATTGGAAATTGCATATCCCAAATGTTTCCAAGTATTATCTTTTTCGAGGTATTCTACATCAAAACATAAACGCACACGACGCAAATCGATCGATGTGTATGGGCTTATCATATGATGCCAACCGCCTGGACAAAAAAATTAAGGAATATTCACAAGTTGTGATGAATGGATTCATGGATAGAATAAGCATAAACAAAAAAGAAGCTTACCTTTTGTTGGATCGATATTTTGCTTTTTTCGCACCTCCAAGGATTTGACAATCTCCTCCTTTTTAACGCAAACGATTCCAATGTCCTTGAATTCGACCACTTTCTTTTGGTTGACATTCACCTTCATAATTGATTCGTTTGTCCCTTTGCCCGCTATTAGATTATGCGGATGTTGTCTGTGAAATACAAATGGAGATTTATTATAGCCAACACATTATTTTAAAGACTCATAAGCTCATAGCTCTTTCTACTAGCACACCAAAAAAAGATTCAAATTGTTAATACATTCGAAAACGAATATTGGCATGTGATGTTTGGTTTAAAAATATTGACATTTCTTTGTATTTTTCCGCACACACCGAGTGTGTAAGGTAAATAATTGGAATCGGAAAATTAAGACCTCCTAAAAACATGTTTTCTGGTTGTTTTAGGGGCCAGGGAATCGATTTTAAGCAACTTTGGTGATGCCCATGTATTAAGACGTTTTTTGTTACGAGAAACCGAATGTGATATTGTTGAGTTTTGCGACACACTTTTCATACAAAATTTCAAAAATATTGAATTTTCGTATGGATGTCTGTATGATACCGTAATGAGCATATTAGAGGTACCTCCCGAACAAAGTTTTGGATTTTTCGCTCAAAAACGAACATTTTGTATGGGGGGTTAATATGCATTGAAATTTCTTCAAATTTGCTGGGATGATGTAGTTTAGCCCGAAAATAAGATTTACTACTTTCACTGTAATTAAATTACTGCAACTACACATTTTGAGGAAAAAATCCGGGCCGGTATTCTAGAACAATCCACAAAAATCGTTCGGAATCATTTGTTTATATAAACAACTCAGCTCAGTGAAAACAATAAAAGTTATTGTTATAATTATACTCATTATTACTCACATTACTACAATCACTATAACAACCACTTCTATTGTTTTCAGTCCGATTCAGTGCCTGACCGTAGCTAATATTTTGAGTGTGTAACAATTTTTTTAATATTTTCAATGTTTGGCGACAAATGTAGAGCTCTATTAAAGTTATATTTTGGTACTTTTGGTGTCCATATTTGACGCCAAACGTTGAAAAGATAAAAAAATATTAGTTTCAAATGAATAGTCCGCTCAATATATTGTCGGAATAATTCCACTTTTGAAAGAGGTGTCGGAATAATTCCGAACAAAATAAGTGGAATATTGTTTATTTTTTTTTGTCTTATGAATAACGACTATTATTCTCGTTATGTGCTACAATATTATTCAAAACAATATTCATTCATAGAAATATGTTTTTCGGAATAATTCCGAACAAATTGATCGGAAAGTGGCATTATAATACCGGCCCCGATCAATTTTGAATCAACAAAACACAATAAACGTTTGTTTGAAGCCATAAAAACTTGTGAATTATTATTCCCATTTTTAGTCATTTTTGTGTAAAAAAGTTTGTCAAAAATTATTTGAATCGCGAAACTAATGTCAGATTCAGTTTTCTCGTGAATTCAAATTTAAGTAACAGATATGTAATAAATGCATGTTGTGGATCACAGCGAGGAAAAGTTCACGGATGTAAGACATTGTATTCTTTATTTAATCTTAAAAAAATAACAAAGCACTTACCTTGGTGGTTTATCATTGTGAGTAACACAAGATATATGTATTTCAGCAATTCCAGTAAAATTACCAATTTCAATAGCCGGATACGTCGATTTTTGTGGTGTTGAATTTGCTCCGGGAATTGAACCATTTAGTCGTCCTTCACTTTTATATCGAAATCGGTAAGACTTTTCTGCTGGTTGCTCGGTTATACGCACATACGGTTTCGCCTATTTTTTTAAATAAAAACAAAACATATTTATTATTTTTAATTTTTCTTTAAAGTGGTTTGTGATGACAGCGGACGGCAGTTATTGTGGTGAAAAGTCTACTCGCTATATATATATGCGAAATATCCAAAATCCTAAACTAGAAAGCAGCTATTGATGTATTGGAAAGATATTTAGCTACTTTTGAGCAAACAACAAAGAAATTTTGAAAAAAAAACTTTCAGCGGAAATGGTGCAAAATCGATGAAATTCGAAGTTGATCATTATTTATCTCAACAAAATGTATGATTGGCTTGGTTTTTTTCAGGATAGATCGAAAGTGCACTCAATTTTTAGTCGATATGCACATTTTCAAAAACCAAAATTCTTTTATTTGGTGAAAATTGGGAAAAGTGTGAACTTAAGCGGCCACCTATGTTTTAATATCTTATTAATCAACAGCAGTGTGCTAGTTTTAAATTTTGTTTGTCCACTTTGACAACTAATTTTACATAATTCGAACCCGAGTAGTTCAATGGTGACAACCGTTTTGAGTAATTGATTCGATTGTTCGAATTTTTTGACTTGGAACCCCATCCTTTTGGAATGATATTTTGGAGTAAATATTGCGTCGCCTCATCAAGAACGTTTAAAATACCATTTAATCCGTCAGTTTTTAGACAATTCAGATATTGTAAGTTTTGCCCGATTAGTCATCCGCATACTTTAGTAAAATCATCCAAAGCGTATTAAAAAAAAAACATTTTTAAATGAATTGGTCGAATTTCGACCACGGGCGGCCCTAGTATTTTATGATTGCCCATGATTTTTTCTTTGCAATCGTTTTTACAAAATTATTTCCTGGTCAAACACATTCCACAACGTTTTTTCGATAATTTTTTTGAATTTTCAGTGACTTACCATATTTATTAAATAATTTACGTATTGAAATTCACAAAGCTGAGAACGCACAAAATTTTCTGATGACTTCGACGAGTTTTAATGCTTACACTTTCGCTGCTGATGCTCTACTGTTTGCAAATGAATACCTACAACACCAAAATAATACGGTTCGGTCATCAAGACTGACACCAATTTATCTCATCTACCTAATGAGCTTCAGTTTAGTTTCGGTTCAATTTCGTTCAAAGGTCTGAAGTTGGCGATCAAAGAAAGGGTGCGGCATTCAATTTTATCGGCCGTAAAAAAGAGGGAAGGAGATGAGGATCTGCTGAATGAGTCTTTTATAATCTAATGAAATAAAAATAAAATCAATAGTTTGTTTTTGAAAAAAAGAAGAAATATTACTTTGTTTTTACCAAAAGAAAAACCTTTAAATTGATTTTCGGTGCTACATCCGAAATTCGTAAAGTAAAATAATTTTTTGATATAAGTTTTCACATTTTCAATGATATATAAATTTTCAAAATCATTTCGTTTGCATGTGTATCAAAACAAATCTATACTCAAAAAATATTCTGTGTGATATTTGTATAGATTCAACTTTATCTTGCGGTAAAAAGAGAAAAAACCGCACTAATTAGGTGTTATGGGTACTGTGTGTCACTCTTTGTTTTCTATGTATTGGTATTAGTTTGTGGCATGTGCCTAATGAGTTTCGGTTCAGTTTCGATTAAAGGAACCGCATGTGAAGTAAACGATCAAAGAGTTGGGTTACTTTTGTTTTAAGAAAATGTGAAGAGCATTTTTGATCTTCTAATCACAAGTAATTCAAACATTAGTTGAATATTGTGCCTCGTGCTGAAGCCAAGTAGTACATAATCTAAGCCAAGTGCATTTTTTCGCAAAATATTAATTTGTTTATTTTAAATTTAAAATTCTTTTTACATAAAAACCTAGATCAAGCCAAAATGTCGATGCAACGCTATGTTGGTATATTCTTAAAGAACGCTTTAACGGTTCAATGCAGCGGAGTGAAAAGTGTACATCGGAATGTCGTAACAAATTTTTATCGAGCATAGTTGGATAAATCGGTGCTGAATCAATACCGTCAACTAAAATATGATCCAAGTAAAATTCAATGCACTTATCTGTAGATTGATGGCACTGGCGAAAATATTCGTTTGAAGGATCGCATTTTGAACCGTGCTCCAGACCGCATCGAAGACCTGCCGTCGTGGCAATATGATGGTAGCTCACAATATCAGGCGCTTGTATGCGATACATATAAACCAGATGGATCACCAACTGAAAGCAATAACCGCTACCTCATTCAAGATGCCGTTGATAAAACGAAACAACATGAGCCATGGTTTGGAATTGAACAGGAATACACATTGCTTGACATCGAAGAACGACCATTTGGATGGCCTAAAAATGGGTTCCCAGCACCGCAAGGCTTGAATGACTTGGTTGCATGAGATTAAAGAAATTTGTTGATTTGTCTCTAAATTTAGATTGTGGAGTTGTCGCAAACCGTGTTTTCGCCCGTGATTTGGCCGAAGCGCATACATTGGCTTGCTTGTATGCTGGTATCGATTTTGCTGGCACAAATTCTGAAGTGATGCCCGCACAATGGGAATTGCTATAGTGTTTTTACTTCTATTGTTTTTACTCCATTTCAGCTCAGCGCCCCGCGTTAGCTCCCTGAGTTGAATCGGCTGACTGAAAATATCTCAATATAATGTCTGGCTCCTTCACAAGAGTGGCCCCTTTCGTTGCGATAGCAGCTGTTATCTTTCGACAGCTGCTGACTTATATTTTCACACCATTTTCACTGAATTTCACCAGAAATCTGAACAAGCTGAACAGAAAAAGAACACGAAAAAGACCAAAATATAACAAAAAACAATGCAAATATGCTTCAAATCGAAAAAAAAACAGGTGCATTGATTTGCCAAGTCGTATATGTTTAACTTCGAATTTCGATATCACAAAACTCACAAACAATATCCCAAATTCTATATATTACCGCGAAAGTACTCGACATCAACTGTGTAAAATAAAAATACCTTTGTTCACCAGAGATCAGTGATGAAGTGATCACGATAATTGAAATTCTGTGAGTGCGAAATATTGTAACACGAGTGGCCAAAAACACACTTGTCGTTGTGTAGCGTTCAAGTGATACTGAAAATGAAAAGTGTCTCATGCCAAATATGGAGGATCAAATGGTGCAACTTCTGGCACAAACACTTGACATATTGGCGTTGTCATTTTCGAGATATTTTGAGTGCATCGGTTTGCACGGTAGACACCCCTATATTATACGTATAATCCAAATTTTTAATAGAGAATGATGCGGGTCAATATACAACAAAATACCAATATTGATTTAATACTCTGTAAAATGCACGGTGTTTTGATTGAGATCGGTTGATAATAGTTGTGGTTTTTGATTGTTTTGGTATTTATTATAAATTCAGTCGTTGAAATTAAGCTGCATGGTGAAAGCTAATCGGTACCAAAGGCAAACCAGTGTTTGGTTAAGATATCTTATCTCGTTTGAGATAGTAAGATAAGATAAGTTAGATACTATCTTTTATCTTATCTAGATGATTTTAGAAACTTAAAAAATCATCTTATCTTTATCTTATCTTTTGGATTTTTTTGGTATCTTATCTTTATTTTTTAAGATAAATAATAAGATATTTTGGTCATTTATTTAAAAAAAATTCATCAATTGTCGGTATGATTAATTTGTTCATTGAAGCGAAAATGATCAATTTCCCCGTGTACAAAAAAAGTGACTGACTATTTTGGGACAAACTGACTGACTATTGACTGTAAAAACAAGCAATCTTAGATAAATTTAGTTAACTTCAATCAATTAAAGTAAGCTATGATTAACTGCAACAGTTAACTATAGTTGACAATAATCATAGTCACCCGATAGTCAAAACGTCCCAAAATAATCGCCTGACTGACTGAGTAACTATAGTCGATTGTTTTCCATACAAAATTTTAAAATTCATGAATATAGCTAACTATAGTCACTTACAGTCAATAGTAACTTAGTCACTTTTTTTCCACTCGGGTCATGACTCGATTCGTCAAAATTATATTCGAATTCTTCAGATTAGATACATTTCAGATATCTTAACCAAACACTGATGCAAAAAAATATATATTTTGGTTAGAATTATATATCAAACATTTATTCTGAAGACGGCTGAATTTAGAAGAAAATGGATGTTCATAATCTTAACAAGAATGTTTCAGTTTGAATTATTGTGTTAGATTTTGGCATTTGGTCGGTGTGCAGGTTCCAAGGTAGATCGGTTGTAATTCATCTAGATCAAGTATATTCCTATGGTTTGATGTTAGCTTTTATCCAATCAATGTAACGGTCCACTCTCTGTTTGGATAAAAATGAAATGTTAATTGCAAAAATTGCTAAAAAATGAATTGAAATATTGAACGTACTGTATATACTCCAGGCCATCCAGCTCTACCACATGGATTACGACCAAATGAAGTAACACCCACCACATAGTAGTGGAAGTGTGTTTCATCAGTTTTATGCAATTTCATCAATGGACCACCCGAATCACCTATTTTCAACGTAAATAATAATAAATGCGAACATTACGTTGAAATCTACGTGCTGTTATATACCTTCACATGCATCCTCCCCTTTCTCACCGCCAGCACATAGTTGTTTATTTGTGAGAGTAACATTATATGCACTATACATATTACTACATCGATCGATAGGAACACTATCCAAGTTAACCTTCAACTTGATATTACTAAAGTGACCTACTTAAATAATAAATGTCTATGAACAATTTGCTACAATTATGATAAAATTAACAAATATTTAAATACCACGCTGAAAAGAAAACAGGAAGAAACGGTTTTTTAAATCGTTAAGACATAATTCAGAGATTTTTTTGAAATACCTCTGTTTTTCCCCATCCTGAGAGAATCAATTTGGATCTAGCATAATTTTGGTTTAAAACCTCACTCGATGCTGGCAGGCAGATGGGTTTAATCCACTCTGTATAGGTGATCGGTCGTTCCAAACGTAGCAGAGCAATATCATTTCCTTGAGATTCCGAATCTGGATTATAATCTACATGTGGAATGCGTTCTACCACACGAATATCTTGAACTGGATCAGCGCATTGGCCATCGTCGCAATCTGGGTTAGATGTTGTATTCCATTCACCAAGTCGGACGCCTTGATTGATGTCAAACACAGAATAAAAAGAAATAATAATAATCGAAAATGTTCAACAAATCAGTTATATTTTCATCTACCTGTCAGTTTCAATTGATCTCTGTCCAATATTTTGTTATTCAAACAATATGATGCTTAGAAAGGAGAAGAGAAGAGGTTTGTTATTTATTTTGAAATATTAAAGTCAATGTGATTTTATCATTCATTATTGTATACCTGTTAAAATGTAATTTTCGTTGATAATGATACCAATGCACTTATAAAAGGTTTTTTTGCCTGTGAGGATATAAACTATTTTTTTTATGAAATCCGAATTTGATTTTTCGAAATTTAGATTTAATTCTCTCACGTTTTGTGTATTCAATTTGTGCCATCCACGGGAATTCATTTATGGCGGTCTCTTCGCCACCAACAATACGTTGACTAGGTTGAGAAGATCCGCAAACACCAGGTTTAGGTAATTCAACCGAATCATTGATAAGTTGTGTTGATGATTTTTCTAATTTGTTTTTTAAGATTAATTTAAATGTGTAAATAACTTATATTAAACATTATTATCGTGCGAAAATCGTAAGCTTTATCTGCATGGGTCACATATCTTGACATTTAAAAGCAAAATTGTTGCTTTTTCTTTTGTACATTTGATAAGACCTAATAATTCATGAAATAATATGAACGCCTCAGAGTAAAAACACTAAAAAAGACAGTATATTTTAACCTGTTCTGTGCTCAAATATGTTCGAAATACTTTTGCTCTCAATTTGTTTTAAACTTCACTTACTTAGTCTAACCATTAAAGTACCCAAATTGTCACAACATTTTTTGAATTTCACCTATACATATCGACATAAAGTGGGATGTTCACCCCTTATAACTCAAATGGGCACACATGTTTCTTCTCATGGGAAGTTACTCATATCATTGTATATATGTATATTCAGAATTATATAAAAAGTTGACTTACGATCGATGTAGATAATGGTGAGGGTGTTATTGGTTTTCCCATTCGATGTGGCTGTACATTGATA